AGCAAACTTGTCCAGTAAACAGAGACCATTTATTTTTCCATCATTTTGGAACGTGACACGCTGTTCCCATGTAACAGGTATCTCATGTAAGGCAAGTTCAACATTCCCCAGGCACAGGTTGTATCAGTGGCCTCACAACAGATGCAACCAGTATGCTCTGCATCTAAATGCAGCCCAGCTCTCCAGCTGCCGGTCCCAACTATGTCGCCATCATTTGCTGCTGATGTAATTTCTGGGTGTTTTAGAATTAGAGAGCCTAAATGCCATGAAGCTGAAGCAGCTTTTAACTTGTTCAGGATTTCTTCTGCAGGTGCAGCTAGAAATCACTTTCACTGAAGACCGAAGGCAGCCATTTAGAAAAAAATACAGATGGAAGGAATGGTGGGAGCTCCTGAGCCACGTTCTGAAAGAGCAGGAATACAAAGGTACAATACTATATATTTTAAATTAACAGCAAGTTGCATTAAAAGTTCCCAGACAATAATTACTTTTTTTCTTTTTAAAAAATAAAGAACTCCATTGAAGTAAATTGTTCAATAAAGGCTGATGTGGTGTTTTATCGAAAGTGGAATACTTGCAAGACATCTGATCTCAATTTTGACCAAATTCTGTTATCTAGAAAACTGGTTTCTCTACTATCCTTAGAAAAATTTGTATTGATAAATACAAATAAAACAAACTGCACCCACCATTGTCGTAAGTTGATTTGTCACCAGTCTAGTACTAAAACCTAGCTGTATGAGATTGTGCTTGTGCTCAATTAACCAAGTTCTCTTCTTGATAAAGACTAGAAATATACTGCATCATTTCAATAACAAATCTCAACACTCCTGACTGGAAGGAATAAAATCTAGCTCCTTCCCTTTCTGAGAGTAAGGTAGTGGAAGATGACTAGTGTATTTAGACATTACTCAGGACTTGAAGAAAAAGATCACATTATGTGACAGAAAGAAAAGCTGGTAATTGAAACCTCAAGGAAAAACACAGGAGCAATGGGAGCAAAAAATATAATTTCAAAGAGACTGTTAAATAAACAACTTTCTGCTTTCATTTATGTAAACTAACAAGAATGCATAAGAGCAGCAACTAAGTGTTCTCTCTACTTCAAAGAGAACTTGGTGGTGATGACAAGCGAGGCACTGGAGATGGAAACCAAAGAGTCAGTGCCTCCTCTCTGCTTACATCCTTATGCATGAGGGAACCAGAGCCTCAAACCTGGTTCACTAAAGACCAAGCAAACCTACTTCCTGAATGAAATACTCTTAAGCAAAGCTACAGGCCTAATGCAATAAATTTTGTATTGAAGGGGGAGACATACTTGGAAAAAGAGGCATGTATTTTGGATGCACAGTTCTTCTTCAGGGGAAAACAAATCCCACTAACTAGAATGGCTAGGGCATTATTATAGCCAGGAAAAGTACTCCTGGATAAGAGGAGCCACAGTCCCAAAAGGTTTAAGATTTGGCAGCACACGTGACTTCAAAACATAGACTATAAAAGTCCTGTACAGAGCCATCAGAGTGCTGGAAATTCTGTACCTGGGTACAGTAACAGCACAGTAACAGCACCTGTGGGGAGGTGTGACTTTAACCGTGTTGTTGCACAGGTTAAAAGGACTTCTTTGGAAAACTGGAAGCGAGCAGCAAGGTAAACTCACAGCAAGACCTAAAATCTATTCCGGGAAATCTGAGAGGTATCACTGCATCATTAAATAGACACACGTATTTTGCTTTTTAAAGGATTCATTTCCACATATGGGCCTCATTTTGCCTACCTGGAAGCACAGTAAATGTCACCTTGAGCTGATGCAAATGCAGCTCTGCTGGAGTTAGAACAAGTGCCTGATTTTCAGTCAGTCCATGAAGTCTAGACTAGGGAAGGTCCCGCTAAGGAGGGTCCCTTTCACTTCATGGTTCCAGAATGACCAAGTGAGACCACTTGTCTGAAAGGCTTGTCTGCAATACTTAAAAGCACTCAATCTACATTTTCTAAGTAGGTTAAGAAATAAAATACCCATACTGTACAGAGATAAAGATGAGAGATTTCACTTTTTTTTTGTTCACCTGCCTTAGTTATCTCAATTCTTAGGACTGTTTTGTAACAGTTTTTCTTCTGTAAAGATCTTCTAAAGAAAAGGGAGACCATCCAAACACAGGATTTGATCCAGACTTTGATTATCTACCACCCTCTCAAAAGCTTATTTCCACTGTAAAAAGTTAACTTAAAAGGAGTGTTCAGTGTCCAGGCTGGAAGCACAATGGTCCAAACAGGAATACTAAATTTTCCAAATCTAGAAAAACAATGTGGCCAATAATAAATTTATAAATCCACTTTTAAATATCTGGCCATTGCATTGCTCATGTTCCAGCAGTGGGTGCACAACATAGATGAAGGAACTCAAACTGAAAAGCACTTCATTTTTCATTTGTAAATACGAAATCTGCAATTGAAGTTTCCCATGTCAAAAAATGCAAAGAATGGGATTGCAACAGGATCCAACAACACACAGTTCTAGTGCTCAGGCAGCAATGGGAAACCACTAGCTTCAAACCCAATTAACGTCTTTCTTCTTTGCTGGGATGAAACATACTGAGAGAGCTAGCTCACAGTATCACCTGTGTGTTACAGATGCCATCCATTGGGGCACACAAGGGGAAGTATATGAAAGGAACAGGGAAAACAGGATAAAAGTGCTTTCTTCAAAAGGAAAGGGATAGGGGAAAGCATTTTTTCTTCTTCTGAACTTCTAAAATCTTGAAATAAAAATGTTTTCCCTCTGTCTTTTGGGCCTAAATAAAAGGAAAACCAAAGGAAAAGAAGCCACAGACACTAAGTCTTCTTGAGAAGACGCCAATGACTTCAGCAGATCCAGGATCTGATCCTAAAGAAAGCATATTCCTCCCCCACCCCATACGCACACTGAAGATCAAGGCAGGGACTGGAAGGGAGGGGAAGATGTATTAATAAGTGAAGGCAAGCAAATTTAAAGGAGTACTCTCCATTAAACAGCACAATAGAAAAAACACAGGCCTTAAATAATTTTATCCTCTTTATTTCCTATAGCAGGTTTAGTGTGCAAGTTTAAGTTGCTCAGGTTTAACAAAAAGACCTGAAAAAACAATTTTTCTCCTCACTTTGCATGCACTGCAGCATAATAAACAGTACCACCTACTCTTGTAATTCACAACAATAATCATTAGCAGATAGTCTCACCTAAGCAGCATTGCAAAAAGCATGAATGCTATCTCAGAAACAAGTGCAGCAAAAATGCAAGCCACTAGGACAAGTAAATATAAATCAGGCAAGCCTGTCTAATTTGGGGAACATTACTCAACAAGGAGTGATAAACAGCCAGAAGCTGGTCATTTGGCATCATCTTTATCACAGCATGCAATTGGTCGCCATGACAACCCTGTCGTCCTCCTTGCCGAATCGCTGAACCAGCCACACACATTTGAGGAGAGAAGATTCTCAAACAGGTTCCAGAAAAATGTGCTGATATGGGGCATTCACAAGCATACACGTAACCAGACACTACCTGTGCCAAAATCGCCATTTTGATCAACTGTAACATAAAGCATAATCAGAAAAGACTGACTTCTTAAAAATCCTAAGGGAGCTTGGGATCAATCGCCTGTACTATTTTTTTCATGTGATGTGATCTTCATCCTGATGTATAAATCATAATTTACTACAGGCATACAAGGCATTCAAGCAGAGATGACTAACCTTAAGGAAGAGAGAGGCAAGGAGACTTGTCAACATTCACGGAAAAACCCACTTGTTTTGAGGTGGCTTCTTCTCCCTTTCAAACCTCACACTGCTGACATAAGGACCAAAATACTAGCACAATAACCAAAGAAAAACAAAAACAAGTAACTACAGGAGACAAGTTTGGAAGAACTGTTTATGACAGCCATGGATGAGTACCCACAATAGTACTGCCTGTCCTGCTTAAGTGGGAGAATTTTAGGGCTCTGACAGGTGTCTGCTCAGGGGCAATACAGCCTGAGGTCCAGAAGTGAAGCCATAGGAAACCAGCACTGCAGTTCACATTTACGGGAGCTGATACTAAAAGCAGCAGAAGTAGGAAAAAGTACTGCAGGAAGACTGAAGAGAGGACCGTGTGTACATTCCTGGAAAATGGGCTGAAAATAAGTAGAACAAGAGGGCAAACCTGTTCACCAACCAAAAATATCTAGCTGCAAAATAAGTAGTCTGGCAAAGGAATGAAGGAAGATCTGGAGGTGACCTAACTGTTGTCTCAAGAGGATTGCTGTGGCAGAAGCTGGGGACTAGGAAGAAGACAGGCTCTAGGAAGCCCCAAGCCACCTGGAGGACAGTGGATGCAAGGCGGAGCAGTGGTGGCAGCATGAAATGGCAGACAGAGGAAGGATTATCTCCTAGGTGGAACAAAAGCTGATGAATCACTAGCTGAAAGTGCTATAGCAGAGGCACATCCTGCAGCTCTTGCACAAACTTCACTGTGTGATGAGATCTCTATCTCTTGGGTCTGGTTGGGATGAAGTTAAATTATCCTCATAGCAGCTTGCAATGTGCTGTGTTTTACATTTGTGACCAAGTGTTGAAAACACATCAGTGGTTTAGGTATTGCTGAGAAGTGCTTGCACAGGACCAAGATCTTTGTTTCTCACTCTGCTCCCTGCTAGAGACTGGCTGGGCATCAGTCTGCTGGTGGGAGGTGGTCAGTGATTGCATTTACATAACTTGGGTTTTATACTATTTTTTTCTTCATTTATTAAGTTGTCTTAATCTTGATGCATGAATTTTTCTCACTTCTACCCTTCTGATTCTCTTCCTCATCCTGCTGGTGGGGGGACTGAGCCACCACAAAGGCATTCAAAGCATACCGGTCAAGCCCAAGATGCAGGGAGGGACAGGTATCCTCTAGGGTAGAACAAAAAGGAGTCACAAACAAGCACAAGCAGCTTGCTTCATTGCACACAACTGAATGCCCTTTTCACTCATTTTGTGCCACAATGAAATACAGCCTCAAATACTATGTGAACAAATACAACATTACCTCAGAGATTTCTACCAACTCAATTCCACAGAAATCAGAATAATTTGCTACTGCTCGAGCAAGTTACTCCTGCTTATAAATACACTTGGCATATGACCACTATTAGTGGGTTTCTTGCTTATTTGAAATGCTAGTTCTCTATTCTTTCCACTAGATGGCAAAAGCTTTTACTTAAAAATAATAGTCCAACACACAGCAGCATGTACTTCTAACTTGACCTAAATCGACTGTGACCTCACTCTGTGGGACTGCACCCTAAAGGGCCTCCTCATGATGGGGGACTCTGAGCAACAGATAATTCATTCAGAGCAGCATCTTTTTCATTAGCAAATCACTAAAAATGGTCTTTCGAGTTAGCTATCAGGGCTAAAACAGTCTGCTTCTGTGCTTTTTTTTTTTGACATAGGATATCTTCCTCCCCATGCCTTTCACCAGAAGGAGCAGGATTGCACCACATGATCTTATGTTCTGGGTTCATACTCTATTTAACTACTTTTAGTGTTTTAGAAGAGGGGTTTTGTGTGGTCTAAAGAAAAAAATAAGCAGCCATCTCAGCCAAGGGACTGCTGGACTCTCACAGCAAAGCCTGCACATACACTGCTGTACCAGCAGACACAGTGCACGACATGTCCAGCAAACACCATGCGCACTTGTACCAAGTCCAGCCTTCCTTACCCACCTCCCCCAAATTCTTAACAACAGCAGCCAACCACTTGGCAGAAAAGCAGGGAAAACTACTTTGGTAGCAGCTCTGAATTTATATATTTCTCTACTAAAATAAAGAACCTGATTCTCCTGTCATCTCAAAACAAATGAATATGTTAGTGTCAAACTATCCACAGAAGAGACCATTAAAATTTAATTTTAGGCAATGGACAAATATAATCTGAAATAATCACATAAACCAGGAAGATTAAGTCTACATATACTGATACAAAAAGCAGTTAAACAGATGTCCTTCTGACTTCAAGACACGAGACACCTGCAGAGCAGGAGATGCTGTGCCAGTGTATGGCCTGTAACAGTACAGTCACCTCAACAGCCTTAACCCTCCACACAGGAACTACTGCATCAAAATGGTTTATTTCCAAGTGAAACTGTTTTACACGCATCAGACATTACAGAGTTCATTAGCCATACTGAACCTACCGACCTACACCTTCCTGTCTTGCTGGCACTGGCTGTAGACACAAGTGGGTCCCATCTTCCTTAAACATCCTGCTAGTAGATAGTACTTCTTAACTTGACACACACCACAAAAGACAGATGGACAGATCTTACACCCTTGCTTAGTTAGAACACACTTGCCACCAAGTCCTGGTACTAAAGAATGGCAATGGGCTTGGACTCCACACTTTTTATCAGATTTGTTTCAACTGAGAAATAGGAAGAACCTCAATAGTTGAAACTTGGTGATGTTAGTGAATGTCTCTAATCTGAATGGTCAAAGTAGTAAATTAGAGCATAGAAGAAGGAATGTGACCACCAGTCAGTTTTCTTCTTGCTCTGAACAGGCACTGCAGAAAAAAAAAAAAAATGTGTAAAAAGTCAGGTACTAGGCAAATTATAATTTTCTTCATCTAAAAGATAAAGCCTACTGGTTTCAGGAGAGAACAACATAAAGAAAAGGAAGGACTATATTTCTCCGGAACACATGCTGCATAATTATATTGATACAGTCTGAAGTTTTATAGAAATGCTCATTAGTGGGTTTTGTGCATATGATTGGCTAATTAAAAGCCAGTGAAACTGGTCAATGGCACAGACGTAGAATTCAAAGGGTGGCTTGACTAAAGCCGCTTTCTTTGGACAGCGTCATTTACAGCACTCTGCAAATGCCTTAGAAAAACCTTTTTCTGAATTTCTGATTCAATGAAAACAACACAAAAGTGAATTACAATGGAGTTACTCACTGAAGTTAAACATTGTGCTTCAAGAAAAAGCAAAACCTGCAAGTACAGCCATTTCCCATCTCAAATGCAAGCTCTGCCCAGCCCTCAGCCCACAGCACAGCAGACGTTTCTGAGACACTGTGAAACAACGTTATCTTCACACCAACCTTGTGATGTGAATGCAAGCTTTGTTTTAAACAAAGCCAGCAAGAGGTAAGAGGAGAGGTCTGAGATGAATTTAATACCTTGCCTTGAGTCATGCCCAGACTCTGCATGCTCCCCAGGATCTGCACAGGCTCCCTGCACCCCCACACCAACCACAAGATCAAGGTTCACAGAGACCAGTGACCTCTCTCCAGTGTGTCTATGTGCCAGAGTCCCCTTTCGTCCCACACGAAGGGCTACTCTTCCTCATGTGACAAAAAAGTAACTCCTACCCCATCCTACCAAATTTAGTAAGTCTACTGCTATGAGAAAAAGCCAGAATTTACTTTTAATGATCTATATAATGGATATTACATATATACAGCTTTAAAGCTGTAATCAAACGTGCATTAGAGAACAAACTGAAGGCTCCTTTTTATTCCCAACATATAAGCTGAAGACCAAGTGTTCCCCCACCTCCAAATTAATTTTATGTTGCTACAGTACAGAAGGGTATGGGGAAGTCATTAAATGGTGAAAATCCACTCTTTTACCTTCAGAGGCACATAAGTATGAAATATTGAATGGGCATAGGAAGCAATGCACTAGTCCTTGGGGCCCCCAGTTTGCCTGCCAGGAAAGATGTTAAGGGACACGGTCAGGCACATCAGGCAGCTAAAGGCTGTGTTGAGGCCTTGTAAAACGTGAACTCAGCTCCACTTCCCAGCCTTCAAGCTTTGAGATTTAAAGAACAACAACCACCCCACAAAACAATCTTTAACCTTTTCAGAAGTAATCTTGCTGCAGTTCAACTAAGTCTTCTGCACAACACAGAGCCATATACAAAGCATGTTGATAGAGCACAGGGGGCTGCTGTAGCTCAGACATTTTTCACATCACTACATTGGTATAAATTTTCTATTAAATCTGATTCATACTGTTCACAGAATCACAGAATGGTAGGGGTTGAAAGGGACCACTGAGGATCATCTAGTCCAACCCCACTGCTAAAGCAGGTTCATCTAGAGCAGGCTGCCCAAGACCACGTCAAGGCTTTGAAAGTCTCCAGAGAAGGAGACTCCACAACCTCTCTGGGCAGCCTGTTCCAGTGCCCCAT